TTATAAATATAGTTTATAAATGTCTAATGCAATGGAGCAAACCGCTATTATTATATATATTCGTGACTGTACAAGATATGTTTGATAAGTTAGAATTTCGCGGAAAATTGTTACGATGGTGTGTTAAAATATTAGACACATTTATATGTTTTTTAAAGTCAGTATACATTTCTAATTTTATTAATTTATTGTGTATATAAGATTGAAATATTTTCTATACCTTTGTAATAAAGCAAAGTTTATATTATATAGATTTTATAAATGTTAAATATAATTAATAGATTGTTAAGAACTATATAATTAGGTATATCATGTATATCACAAGAAAAAAAATAAAAATAAACTTCTAATACTTAGAGGAGAAAAAGTAAATGATAATTTTGGATTTTATTATTTGCAAATTATCGAAAATTCTCCAAGAAAACCCGACATAGGAAATGTTGTCTTAAAACAAAAAAAATAAAAATATATTAAGTAAACTGCCAGTTTGCTCTTTTGGAAATATTCCAAGCAAACTGTTTGGATTAAATCATTTTTAATACAAAAAATAGAGAAAAATGTATAGATCGTGTGTTCATCTCAATGCTGTATGTCTATCCAATGATATATGCAATAATCTTCCGTGAAGTTTCCGCAATTTTCGCAGAATTAAATGAATTGCTAGCATTAAATTCCTACAACAATTTGTTATCCATATACGTAGAGCGATAATATACCGCGAGTTTACTATTTTAAACAGGGATGCATCGGATCACAAAATTACCGGATATCAGATATCTGTCACATTCTGTTCGGATTCTCTATATTCAGTCGGATATCTGATAGGGCAATTATCCGACTAAATATCGGATATTTCCTCGGATATCTGGTCGGATATCTAGTACATAACTTCAAAAAAAGAAAAGACAATAAAATTTTGCATCAATAACTCAAACTTTCAATATAAAATTTCGATCGGACATATTACCGGATACTAAGATATCTGACCGGATAGTAGAAAAGTACCGGATATTTCCCAGGATATATTCCTAATTTTAAAGATATAATTTGTACAATCATGATGAGATTTGAATTAATACTGCTCAGTCAAAGTTAACTATTTCTAATCTATTCGTAAGAGAAAATACAAGTGATAGCGTACCGAACTTACTTTAAGCTAAGAAAGCTTATGTAACATTATATCAATAATAAAATATTATTTTGATATAAAATAGCATTTTACTTTATATCTAATGTCTATGATCTATGCTTTACAATGTCATCTTTCTTTCAACATAAAAACATCAATTTGTACAGCACATAATAACAGCAAATAACTTTACAAACTATTCTTATGTATCGCTCTTCCATAGTTTAATAGTTTTATCATTCTCAAGAGCAGCCGAAGCTATAATGTTGTCCGTTGGATGACATGTTGTGCAAAGTACTACGTCTGAAAACGACACGTGCACACAATTAGTGAGTAAAAAATTCGAGAAAATTATTACAAAGTATAATCTCAAAGAAAAGACATTTGTAGATATTGAATTTTTTTATCTAAATCACACTAGATAGAAAATTTTTCTTTTTTCAAGTGTATATGCATATTTTCATATAAAGATCTGAAGATTTAATTTATTCAGAATAACGTCCACTCTTGAGTTGATTAATTAATATTATTTCTTAAATGAATATATGCTTACCTGTGTGTCCTTGTAGCTTTTGTACAATCTCTTTCGTCTGTAAATTCCAAATGTATACCATATGGTCTTCAGAGCCGGATACAATCCACTGTGGATAAGAAGAAAAACTTAAAATAATCCTTAGAGTCCATTACCTATACATAATCTTAATTGTGAAGCATTTGATATTGATTAAGTAATCATTGCAATATGCACCTTTCCACCTGTTACAGAAAAGTTCGCGAAGATGCAATATTTCTCATTTTTGTGACCACTGTACGTTTTCAGACATTTCCCTTTACTGTAATCCCACAGCTTTAAAGTGTTGTCCAGCGTTGCTGCTAAGATGTATTTGCCATTCGGTGAAAATTTGACAAATGATACTGGAGGATTGTCATCGTCTATCAGAGTTTTTAGACATTGTCCTGACGCAGTGTCCCAAATTCGACTGCAAATCACATTGTGTTAATATTATACAATAAATAAATTTCCAGAGAAAAGACATGCGGATCTGTTCTTCTCACAGATCACCACAACTGGAAATTTGATGTTGCAGGACTTACCATAATCCATCGTAACTACTCGAAACGATTAAAGAGCCATCCCTATTGAAATGCACCGCACTTACAGGATCTGAATGTGCCGGCAAGGTTTTAAGGCATTTTCCGCTTCTCACATCCCAAATACGCACACTTTCGTCAAACTAAAAACAGACAAATCTTTTAGATCTTGTGATCTTATTCGTTTTGTAATTGCATACATAATGTCACCATTCACATTTTAATTTAATAATAGACCTAACATTTTGCTTATTATCCTTAATAAAAAATTCATTACTACATCTTTAGAATATTTTTAGAAAATCTAAAATCATTACAGAAAAATTATAATATATAACTTGATTCTCATAGAAATTTATATTTTGATTTCTAAATTAATATTTTAAATTTTAAAACACTTAAAAATTTAAGAGGATTATTTTTATATATAATTAATAGAGAACAAATACATTTAATTTATGTTACTTACAGAACCAGAGACTATAAGGTTGGACTGTGGATTAAAATTACAACAGAAAACATAATTACTGTGACCCTTCAATGTTTTTAAACATTTACCCTGAAAAAATAAGAGATTCCAAAATTAGTACATCAAAAAATATGCAATATTAAAAAAAACTTTAATTTACCTTAGTACACTTTTTTCTAATTACAAAGAATATCCTGTATAATGGAATACTTACAGAACTTAATTCCCATATTTTTAAGGTCTTGTCATCAGAAGCTGATACCAGCAATCTACTATCACTAGACCATGCTACATCAGAAATACCCAGCTTATGACCAGCTATAGTCTTCTCGAACTTTCCATCATAAGAACCCCAAATTTTGATAAGCTTGTCAGCAGCTGAAAAATTAGAAACATATATCAAAAAATCATTAGTCTATCATTAGTTATCTTAAATCTCATAATCAATGTCTGTACTCTATATCCAGATAACCAAGTTCCTTAGCATAAGAAATAGTTGTTTGACACAAGTTTTCCTTCAACTATCATCATGTTGTTGTCACGAAGACAAAAGTAATTTCGTTGAAAGAACTTAAAGAAAATTATATGGACAACAGTTTCCTATGCAAAAGAACAGAAATGCTATAACATATTCATATTACTATAAAAGTGGCCACAATCTACTTATAAAAAGAAATTGTTGCCTGAGTGAAGCCATCAAGTTGCTTGTAACCGTTAGTGGTAATAAAAAGCAATCTGGCAAAATTGGTTTTCTCAATATTGCAGATAATTTAAGCAATTTAATGTGACTACTTGAGTAACTTTTATTGATAATGTTGGTATCATTATATTGGTGTTGTCCATGTATATTATATGTATATAGTAAAAAAGTTGCACAACGATAATGTAATAATAATAAATTATCGTTAACAGTTTAAGAATAGAAGCATTGATCTCTAAGAATTCATAATTACCTGAGCTAGCCAACCATTCTCCATTGGGACTAAATTTGACAGAAGACACTGCCTTAGTATGACCTGCCAAGGTATATTTCAGTGTATAATTTGATTTCTGTAAACAAAAAATCAAAGATGCAAATATATTCCTTTATTCATTTCATTTTCACACAAAAATAACAACATTGTAACAACATCGTAAAGTAACATTGGTCTAACAGTCAATGGCTATGTTTACACCATTTAGGCTACTATAATGTCCTTGTTTATCTTGTAAGTTAAACAAAAACACCTACTGTATAGATCGCAGACTAGCACACAGTATAAACGTAGCCCCTAAGTTTATTTTTATTCCTATACTAGATTGCACTAACTCTCTTTCTCATTTTTATCAAATATCAAACATATCTATTTCACATCACTTTAAATTTCAAAAGTGTTCAATCACCAAATCAGATCTCATATTTGACTGCAAACTTTTATGAATCTGAAAAATACACTGAAATGGCTTGTCGGCTTGAAGATAAAAAGAAAAATAACCTTGTTTGATAGAATTAGAATTACAAGAGATAAACGGAACACCTATAGAAGTTTTACTTTATTTATCTCGGGTTTTTATAAGAAGTTTGTGTAACACGTATATACAGATCAGCGAAAACAAGTTTAATAAGATTTTGTTCGATATATTTCATTCGTAACTTGAATATAAATCCAGCCATCTTAAATTTTCCCTGATATCTGCATCGAGAAGAATTTATCAAAGACCTAGTCGTTAATTACTCGTACATATTACTTCGTTTACATCCACACCTCAATTAATCGAACCGGCGTATTGACGTATTTAACCTGTACATACATTTTACCATATGTAAATTTAAATACGCATTGTATACTTTACCACTATTGCGTTTTTCGTTCCGCTGGCGGTCGCGCTGGAAGAATTATTCATGGACGTTTGATGTCCCGGCGATGGGCCGAGAGGTACCATATTTTCCAATTATACCGACAAAATTTACAAACGCAACAATGCGTTACAATGCACAACGAGCAATCAACCTGTACAATGTAACAGAATGTAAGCACGGTATACGACAAAATCGACCGAATGTGCTGCTCCGAAGTCCGGACTTGTCCACACTGCTCCTATGGCGAAGTCCGACTGTGAGACAGTCGATTCTGTCGATTTGTACCTTGAAACGAGGTAAAATTACAAAATAAACAAGTTAATTTCATTGATCAATGTCTAGTAAATTTGCTTACTTTTGTAATTTTCTCCTCGTTTTGAGAGACATAATTGATCCCCAGAGATAAATAGAGAAAATAACGATGCTATCTGATTGGATACTTTGTATCCCTCCTTTCATGTGAGGGGACCTGAGAGAGACAGAGACAGAGAGAGAGAGAGAGAGATCAAAATAGGTCAGTTCGCGTTGTTTGCACTTTTTGCACTCACTTCACTTTCTCTCTCTTCCACGCGTATCTCATTTTTTAGTGCAAATATTTTGAGGATTTCAAGCGTGAACAGACTATAGCATTAAAGTCATTCATTATCTACCTTCTTCTTCTGCACATACTTTATAAGATCTGTTGTCCACGAAAAAATAATTTTCAAATAAAAAAAATTATCTCTAGCATAATTGTATGTGAAATACATATAAATTGAAATAAAAATGTATAAATGTATGAAAGAAACTTGTTACAAAGAAACTTGTATTACATAGTCCTTACTATAAATCTATTTACATTGATTATACTTTTTGCTCATCTCTTTCACTCACTCTCTTTTTTAGGAAAGTAACACAATCTTACGGTGGAAGCAATCACCTTATATTCATATTAATATTTTGCATATGTAACTCTCAAGTAATATTGCATATTTCATGTTGGGACCAAAATAAAAAGAGATATAACTATAACTTAATAATATATAATTCAGAAACACATATAATTACATATTTTTAATATTTCTCCATATAAAAGTAGATGAAATTGTTGTGTAGCTTACATATAATTATATGATTTTTATAATTAACATACATATACATTTTATAATGAATATACAATTTGTATTCTAGATGTGATCAAGATTTGCTACTTGGTGCAATTGGTCATGTTCAGTAGAATGTTTATTTTGAACCTGTTGGAAGTTTTCTTCGCGCTAATTAGATTATACTTTTAGATATATATATATATATATAAAGGAATAGTTCTATTTCAGCAAAGAAAACTTCCAACAGTTGCACAAAAAAAAAAAACATTCTACTGAACGCGGTCATTGGCTGCAAATATAGCATAAAAATTTGGCTTCTAGACTAGAATACCCCCTTAAGGAGTAAAAAATGACTTCATCAAATTTGATCACCAGTGCCGTTCGGATCCGGCGTTAGGGTGCTATTTTATTTGTACGTTTTTGTCATATGACAAATATATACAGACTGAGAAGTTCTCGGATCTATCACATAGCCAATCAACAGGCTTGAAAAATTTGTACGACAAAAACGCACAAATGAAATATTACCCTTAAACTGCAACTCAGTGGATATATGTATTATGTATGAATCCCCCAGGTTGCGAGGTGGACATTACGCGAATTTCGGAAAAAATCCATTATTATTGAAATCTCATTAGAGGCTTTATACTCCACAGGAGTTAAAGGAACATACATACATATATAGATCCAAGCGTATTCAGTAAAAAAAAAAATATAATTGATAATACACGCTACAAAACAAGAGGTACATATAAAAACGCAGATATTTGCGCACAATAACTGATAGATTTGGCAAAGTTATTTCTGGAGCAGCTTACTATCCTGTAATACAGTTTTTCGTTAAAAATCATAAGATTAAAAAATTGCTACAGAGAATAAAAATTTGTAACTCAGTGAATGGTTATAAATAATCATTGTTACTCAGAAACACGGACCATTAATATCATCATAATTAAGAAATATTAAATTTCAAAAGATTAAAACAATATTAATTTAGTGTCATTAGAAATATATTTTAAACTTAAATTTTTTAAATAAATTAATATTTAATGATAAAAAAAGTATTTAATATTAAATATAAAATTTAGTACTTAAATTTAAAAATTCAATTTTTTTAAAACTACAATAGTACTAAATTTAGTATTAAAATGTTAATATTAGCGGAAACAATATTACTTACATATTAAGAAGGAAAAAGTCCTTTCATGCTATTTCTTTTCAAACAAAATTGAGAGAATCAATCAATGGATTCAATATCTCTTCATTCTGCATGCTATTTTCTTTTCCTGCAATCATATTATTTTTTTCTCAGTGAACTGTGTTTCATGGACGATTATACGAGATTTATTTATAACAAGGAATCAGTAAATGGTTAGTAATAATCACTGTCACTCAGAAACACGGACCATAATATCATCATAAGAAATATCTAAGCATGAAAAACTACATAAATATTATACAAGATATAGGATTGTTAATATTAAATACTTACCTAGAAATTGTTAGATTTTCGTGGCCAGGTTATGCTAACTTTCTTTAAAAATGCTCCTTTATGCAGATTTTTTAATAATCTAAAAAATAAAATACATTTTACTGATCTCATACTTGACAACAGCATATAAATTATATCGTGAAAAATTAGTCAGAGATTGGTTATAAAATTAATCACTGATAAATCAGTAACACGGACCAATTAATTTCATCATTTAAATAAGCAACAGAATGCAAAATACTACAGAGAAAAATTCATGGTTCGGGTATATTAGAATTGAAACATTGTCTCCTGATGATTAATATTAAAACTTACCTCAAAACTCAGATCTTTGTGGATGTTTTCTTTGGAATTCAGGACCGATTTACATTAGTCATTTTTTTAAAATGCTTCATTCCTTTTCACGAGTCAGGTTATATCAATTTCCTTAAAAAATGCTTTCTTTTGTGCAGATTTTTTAATAATCTAAAAATATATTTTACTCATCTCATAGTCGTCCAACACATCATATAAATTATATCATGAAAAGTTAGTTAGAGATTGGTTCTAAAATTAATCACTGATAAATCAGTAACACCAAACAGTAAATTTCGTCATTTAAATAAGCATAAGAATGCGAAATTATCTACAGAGAAAAATTTATGGTTCAAGTATAGTAAATTAATAAAATAGTCCGAAACACGTGCCACGTGGTCGGCTGGTTGAGGATGCAACCACATTTGCGGTCAGCCAATGCAAATTTTTGTAAAGACCGAATTGAGAACAAAAAAATGGAATTGATGAAAAAAGAAATTGAGCTATGTATCGAAAAACATAAAAAAATAAAATTTTCTTACCATCTTGCGTCTCCTGCGATTTTTCATGCGAGAGAATCAGACCGACACGATGATTCACCTCACCCACTTGTAGAAGAAACGTTAACGGAAATCAGCGCTCCTTCAACTTTCAATGCGAGAGTGCTCCCCACTCTTTTATCTTTATAACTTGAGTAGAAAATCAACCAATCACGATTAAAAGTTTTAAAATGGCGATTGATCGCAGTCGTCATTTCCATCACTTCCGTCATCCTCGACTGTAATTGGTCGTTTCGTTTACTACTAAAATCATAATGCTTACGTATTTCCGTAAGCGGCTCTGAAGATAAAACTTTGATTAACTTACGAGATACATAAAAATTTGTAACAAATAAAATTTTTGTATTATTTTATTGACGTAGATAAAATTAATAATTTTTTTGTCACGTAGGAAAAGATCAAGGACGACGAGTTATATAATCGGAAATTTTATTGCAATTCTAATGATTAAATGATACTTAATCGAAGTTAGCCTTAAATGCAATGCAAGGAAGATACTTGAGATACACATAAATTTTATTTCAATTATTATTTATGCTAGTAATCATATTATAATAAAAGAAATGCATCAACAGATCTTTCTCACTTTTTAAATTATTCTTTTTTTAGAATTATTGAGTTATTTAAAATTTCTCTCTCTGCTTCAAGTACAGTGTTTAAAATATCTTAATATTAATAGTTGTTCTATCAATACTTTGTAAAAAATTCCTGATAATCTTATTTTTGTTAAAAATCATTGACAACACATCGCGAAAGATATAATTATTTATTTTTCACTATCATAATATTTTACATTATTGAGCTCTCGCAACATTGGAATGGTACCTAATATAATAAAGTAGCCTCAATATAGCCGAAGGTGTCACACCTGAGATTTTATTGGCCGCTGCAATCTACAAAAAAATTTCTTATTAGTACAAAAAAAAATACAGAAAGTTAACAAATAAATACTTAAAATAAAAAAAAATTTGCTTTCATGTTACAAATAAAAAGTCGATGCTTTTACAGAAGAATTATTAGCGTTGAAAAAATTTACCGTGCGTGGAAGATGTTTCGTAAGTTGTTCTCGATCTTCATAAGATAAATTCAAATCAGGACTATAACAGAAATGAAATAATTAGTTACTTAGATTATTATTAATTTACTTAGATTAACTTACTCAGATTATTATTCTTCCAATTTTACCATGCAACAATTAAATAACCGAACAACAAAATAAAACTTTGACTTTTACCTATTATAGTCGATATCATCAGGTATAATCATCTGCTCGTTTCTCCTGATATCATTCACTTGATGCTGCTGCTCCGCAACAGCAAAAACATATTTCGTCTCAATCTGAAAGTTTAATCATTGCCAGTGTTTCAACAAAAAAATATTAGAAAATACGTATTTTACTTAAACGTTTGATCGAAATTTCTAAAATTTTTATTTTGTTTATACACAAGCTTTTGCCTTGTCTCTTCCAACATGCGTTCAATTAATTTGCAAACCTCTATTCTTCTCGCCAGACCGGGATCTCCATCAAGATGTACTAATTGCGGCAACCGTTTTGCTAGTTTTTCAAATGTCACTGGCTCATCTGTCACGGACAGCATATCAAACGCTGACTTCAGTCCAGGGTCCTTAGAAGTTTTTATTTTTAATAACTGTCGCCATTTGCTGATTGGCCGCACATCGCTCTTGAGTATTTGTACAGCTTCCTGCATTTTACGAAAAACCTCTCTCGTTTTCTCGATCCTCTCGCGAGAAACACAGCCTATCGCGTAACCCTTCTCTGTCAATCTCTGATCTGCATTGTCGGGACGTAGACTCACTCGAAACTCTGACCTACTAGTAAACATTCTGTACGGCTCCATGGTGCCCCCCGTCGTTAGATCGTCGATAAGGACACCAATGTAACCCTCGGTTCGACTTATCAAAAGCGGCGGTTTCTTAAACACCTGGATATACACAGAGATAAAAACATACGTACAAATGTCTATATAATTGGCTTCCTAATTGACAGTAGCGCAAAATAATGAAGCACTGCAATTTCTTTACAAATTAAAAAATCATAAATTATTCTTTTGGAATAAGCTGTATAGCTTATCTTTTTCAGGATAAAATGAAGTTTTGCAATCAGTATAAATAAAAAAAAGACTAAAATGAACAAGTTGGTCATGAGAAATTTTGATTCATGTAGTGATTTCAATGAAGGGCCATATGAAATTTATTTCTTTTTCATTGGAAAGCATTAATTTTAAACACTTTCCATAATCACCTTAGCAGCTGCGTTAACACCCGCGACGATACCTTGTGCGGCTGCTTCTTCGTAACCAGTAGTGCCGTTTATTTGCCCAGCGAGGAACAGCCCTGGAACCTTTTTGGTCTCCAATTGGGTGGTCAATTCTCTGGGGTCTACGTAATCATACTCAACGCCATAACCAGGTTTGACTATTCACATATAAATGCAAATGAAAAAGGGAATCAGAAAGATTTTATAATATAAAATCATATAAAAAATAGAAATAAAAGAATTTTATTATAACTTAAATTTAAGAAAATTACCTAGACGAGCATTTTCCAATCCTGGGATACATTTAACGAGTTCCACTTGCTTCTCTTCTGGCAGGGTACACGATAATCCACTCGGATAAATCAACGGTGAGTCCAGACCTTCCGGCTCCAGCCAAATCTGATGTTTAAGTGCCTTAAATCGCAGAATCTTACTCTCTATACTCGGGCAATATCGCGGACCCGTTATCTCCTCCGTTACGTGTAAATTACAGTGCATATTATCCTTTATGATTTTTGCGACATCTTCGTTGGTATACGTCAGATACGTTAGTATTTGCTTGTCGGGCGGTAGCCACACGTTATCGCTCATGAACGAGAATGGTATAGGCGAATCGTCCGGCGGATATGCCGTACATTTGGTGAAGTCGATGCTTTCTTTCTCCAATCTTGGCGGCGTGCCTAAAAATATGTACATATAATTCTAAATTAATATGTAGTTATTATGTATATAATTAACATTATAATTAACATTTTTAACATAAAGGCAAATTAATTAAGGCATATTAATTGTGTAACCAAATAAAAAATATTCATTAAATGAATAATACATATTATGCGAATTAATTAGATACGTATTGTATAAAACGTTATTTTTACCAGTTTTCAGTCTTCCTATCCGAAATCCAAGTCTATCGAGTGTATTTGCTAAACCAATACTAGGTTCATCGTTCAATCTACCTGCAGGCCTTTTTTCCAATCCGATGTTTATTTGGCCTTTTAAAAAAGTTCCTGTGGTTATAACTACCGCGTCGCCAAATATCTTCGTTCCGTCTCCTATAAAAATAAAATTTGTATGTGACATCGTATGTAAAAAATAAATTCACCGAATCAGTTATTTTAATTATTTTTCTTCAAATCGCAATTCTTTTCTTTATTTCATTATGAATTTTAAAACATACCGAGAATTACTCCTTGACAGGACAAAGAATCGTTTTCCAAAATCAGATCTTCTACAGAGGATTCATAAATATGCAATCTAGGCATACTGAAGAATTCGGCTTGAAGATGTTTCTTGTATAATTTTCTATCAATTTGAGCTCTGAGACCCCATACTGCTGGCCCTTTTCTCTTGTTCAAGACTTTATAGTATATCCCTGAAATGTCACATATCCGACAACATACTCCATCTAAAGCATCCACTTCTCTCATCAGATGGCCTTTTCCAATTCCACCAAAGGACGGATTACATGACATCTCTCCTGAAAACATAATCATATTCAAATAAATTAGGTCATATAATTTAATTTCGATCAAAAATGCATTTCATATACAGCGATCGAATAGATTTCAACATTACTATCTTTATGCATACGTACCTATAGTACTTTTTTTCTGAGTAACCAACAGTGTCTCTGCACCCATTCTAACAGCAGCGGCAGACGCTTCCGTTCCAGCATGACCGCCACCAACGACAATCACATCGAATTTAGTTTTATTCGTATTTATTAATTGTCTCAGCAAACGTTTCTGTTCGATACGAATATCGCACCGATTTAACAAAGATGATCTGATTCTTGTAAATATCATTTTGTCTTGTTGTCACACCTTCCGTTTGTATGTTACTTTCTGCAAAGACATTTGATCGTTCTTAAATATCAAAGAGAAAATATTAAAAAATAAATCAAATATTGACATGTTATGGCTTATTATAGTTTTATAAATTATTTATTAATTACTGCTTATTTACATGCTAATATCTAGGTGCACATATATTACACAACAATATATTAATCAGCTAACTCAGGCCTGTTCAATTTTAGCTCCGAAGCCAAAATGCAAAATCATCAACGCAAAAAATTCAATAAGATTTCGGGGATTGTAAAGTGTTGATAAGCGTCGCTCAGATGCACATCAATACTTTCCCCGAAATCTTATCCATATTGAATTGTAATCTTATCCATATTGAATTTTGCATCAATGACTTTGCGTTTTAACTCCAGAATTAAAATTGAACAGGTCTGACTTAACTTTTCTAATACAAAAAGCTTATTTATCTCGTGTTATATGATATACTTTTTTTTCGATAAAAAGGAAATTCATGTTGTAGCTAAGAAGACAGAGATATAAATTGAGTATTCGTCTGGGGAATTTTTTACAAACAAGAAAAAGACATACAAACATGAATGTTTTTATTACATAAATTACAATATAAATAGAATAGAAGAAAATCTATCAAAAGAGATGATCCGACAGAAAATATTCTTGATCCTTTAAGATTCTGTATAACGAAACATATTGCATTGCTTTGTACATTTTCGATAGTATCAATCGCTCGCACAGCTCTTCCTTGCTCTTAAATCTTAGGGCTCTGTATCCCAGATTATTAAAAAATTCCAGAACGAAGTTTAAACAATTCATATTGATGGCGTCATAGTTAATGGATTTCCATTTGAGATTTTTTGACATAAGTAACAATGTTTCATCCCATTGTGCAGTCCAGGCTGCCGGCACAAGCTCCAAAACAATACAATCAGTCCACTTGGTGATATCATTTTCAAGTAGTCCCTCTTTGTCAAACTCAACAATGCCACCACTAGAATTAACTATTCCAATATGCAAATCGTCGCGTGTCATGTTGTAATCATCAAGGAAGCTGCCTCGTGAAGGCCGAATAACAACACTAGTTGGATTATGAATGGCATTCGCGAACGGACATGGAACACGAAACGGATCTACAATGAAGTTCTGCATTTGTGACAAGCATACCGGACACATCGCCGGAATTTGCATGCAAAACACATTCTTGGTCTTGCAATGACGGAAACAGATAATGCCTGGATCGTTGTTCATGTTCTCAAAGAACAAATTAAATTCAAATTTGACACTCCAAGATATATATATATATTATAAGATTCTTATTTAATTCTATTTTCTATTATTTAAAGAAATTTGCATTTCTATCAAGGAAGACAAGAGAGCTGTCAATCTACAGAACAAAATGTATATACAACAAAAACATTTGTCACATAAGGAACAGCTCCGTCGATCACTTTATCCATTTCTTTCCTCACTATTTTACAATGCTCGCACTGGAAACGAGAAAACAAAAGAACACAAAAAGTGTAAAAAGAATATACGTAATAACATAAAAAATAGATTTGTTCTTTCAACCGAATTTCTTCATCTCTTCTCTATTCCTCTCCATTGAAAAAAAAGAGAAAAAAGATGAACATTGCAAGAAATTCAACTAAAAAAACAGGCTTAAAATATGTATAAAATATTACATTAAATAGCGAAATAATGCTACAATTCTAACCTAATCTAACCTAGATAACGTATTCCATACAACGCAAAAAATTAATGTTATTCCACATTACGTTCGTACATAATGGAAACATCTCAGGTGCATGTGTTAATTATTAAAATATAATGCGTTAACTGACGTTATCAAAACAATCAGATGGAAAAACAAAAACATGTCTAAATTCAATTCTTTTCAAAATACTCACATGACTGACGCACGTGCAACTGTGGTATGTATGAATGTCATGCCATAATGACAGCTTGACGTCAAATACGCGAGTATCACTCTAATGAGATTCAATAATTGCGAAACTTCTTGTTGTCGTAAATCAACTGCACCTTAATGGGTGCTCTCCATTTATGGCCATTCTACAATAAGCCATTAGGGTATATCCACACAAATTTGCATAGCGCATAAGGGTATACATAAAGAAAATTATCCAATCGTATTTATCCTATAAAGACGCACGTAAAATGACGCACGTGATTGGATAATTTTCTTTATACATATGTTTATGCGGCTATGCAAGTTTGTGGATACACTCTTAATCATAAATCAGAAGTTATAAGTTGGAAATTGACGACTGTGGTTAGTCAATTTCTAACTTTTGATTAATGATTAATGGCTTATTGCAGAATGGCCAATTTTTAGCTTCTGACTTCTAATTTATGATTACAGTAGTATCGACGAGATACTATTAAAGACCGACATCCTTACGGGCGTCCTTGTGATTATTGAAGTAATTAAGAGTTAAAATCTGAAAATATTATACTAATTTTATGATTTATTAGTTTAGTGGACGTATTTATGCATTTAGAACTTAATAATAATTCGATTTTTCTTTAAAATTGTGATTTTAATGCTATCATAAAAGTTTGATTATTAACAGAGATGATAACTGCAGAGAAAAAAAATTGTAATTTTTCTGCAATATATAGAATATTTATAGCTTTAACATATTGTATATATTGTATATATTGTATATATATATATATACAAATATGTATATTTATTTATGGAACATTTATGTAATAAAAAATCATGAATTTAATAATGACCTAAATATTTATGTTAATAACAGTAAATTTATATCAATTGTCGATAATGTCAGCGTTCTTCAATTACCTGCAAGCTCTTGGAGCCCTTTTTATACCGCCGAAAATTTGCCCAGAGTTGACAGTCTTTAACAGTATCTCATCAGTGCTACTAGCTATTGTAGAAGGCCCAGTACAAAATACAGGGACTAGTATCAGCGTCATAGGAGCCCGTAGCCGCAGACGAGTGTCTCCCGCTGGACTCGGATGCATCAAAGAACATTATCTAGAACTAGGGAATCAAGAACGTTCGAGACTGATGTTCGAGGGTGTGGTCGAGTTGTCACTACGAATGCTTTGAAGCATTTGATTAAGTCCGAATCTACAATAGGTATTTTAAGCCTTGAGCCGTAAGAAATTGACCAACTACAGTCAAATACGAGGAGAATAATTTATTGTGGTTCGTCCATTCCTTATGGCTTAAAAATCTATTGTAGATCCGGAGTAATCAATCGAAAAAAAGAATTTTACTAATTGACCAATCAAAAGATGCTTCGAACAATTCGTAGCGGCAACTCGATCGCATCCCGAGATTCGTGCTCGATTGGTAACTCGATGGCGCTACCGTTTCCTCGGTGTCGACGTCTAGCGGAACGAAGTAGAAGCATTAAAGAAGCTCCGAGATCGGAAGTTCTAGAGACTATTGAAAGCTTTGTTCTTCTTGCTCCGCACCTCACCGCACTTCTCTTCCACCATTTCCTCGTTGCGGATTACATGTACGTTCTTGTGCTTCCCGTTGGACGTGGTGTGGACTCTACGACGACTATTAACCGCGTATATTTGCAATCGCTGCACCTTCTTACACTTTCTGCAGCCGAAATATCAGAGCATATCAGAGGTGCAAAAGGTGTAACGGAATAAAGCGCGAAAATAAGATACTGCATCACGCAGCGAGGAAAGGCTTTTACCGATTTGGTTGGGATTGATGTGAAGAAAAGCGTGCGACTGCCGACCACGGTGAACCGGACGAGTCTCAAGATTATACAGTCAGCGACTTCAAAGCGTCATCCTGGCGGCGAAGATGCAAGGCTGGTTTAATCGCGACGAGGATGGCAAGGTGATCATAGACAGCAATGGGTTTGTCACGATCACCTGCGAAGGTAATGGTAAATAGACCACAATTATATATTTATATATATATATAGTATATTCTATTGGTATGTGCATTGTTTCCATTACAATACTTCACCGTATAATCCATTAGTAATAAGTCAATGCAGATGTATCAATGAATATTAATAACATTGATGTTGATAGAGGAAAATGTAGTCTTTCAACTGCATATATCAGAGATCGACGAGAAAGCCGAACAGATGTGCTTCAATGTCAATGGCAAAGACATATATATTGATGTTGTTCCATTTGAAACAAATGAAAATGATTCCGAGGGTGATAAGATCATGATTGAATCAGAGAGCAAGGAGTCCAAGGAAGAAAAGTTTAATAATACTCCAACAACAAGTAAAAATGGAAACGCAATTTTTCCTTGGTGCGACGCCTCGACAAAGATCTTCTTGAGAGAGTACAAACTGAAAAAGGAATTAGTAAAGCATCGAAAGTTAAAAAATATGAAGAGGGCATATCAGGAAATAGCCTATAATTTGGCGGAGAATGGCTTTAACGTATCGCCCTTGCAAGTGGAAAATAGATACAAAACGCTTAAACGTGCTTATAAGAACATGATAACGCACAACAGGAGGAGCGGGAGAGGAAAATATATCTGCAGTTACGAAGAGTAAGTTTGTTTTTCTAGAGAATTCTTACAAGTTGTCTTAATCATTGAATCACATGTTAATCTTTTTTTTTTTTTTTTTTTTTTTTTTTTTTTTTTTTTTTTTTTTTTTTTTAATAAAGTTATGACTTAAAAACTATTCAGTCCATCTATAACTTCTTATTTACATTTTAATCATTCTCTTTTTTCATCTAACACATTGTACAAAAGTATGTAGAGGTATTTCTGGATATCTTAAACATATCTTGTAAGCTCTAAATCCTTTAAGCTCTCTACAATTCATAATAACCTTAAGCCTTCTAACTTTTAATCACATAATTAGAGCAGTAAGCTTTTTTAAATTTTCTGTATATGTGAAACATGGGATCGAACCTGAATCCACAGATTGCCAATGTAGACCGAGCTTATAGAGCCATCCATCTTCATATCTCAAATATGTTAAATGTGCTTACAGTGATCTGGTTGAGATATTTTCCAATGATATATATGACACGAAAATGAATGATGAAGATGATGCAAAGGACCCAAAGGAAACGTAAGTAACTAATCAAAATTATAAAATTATTTAATTAAGTACTTTAAGGTTGATTCATAAATATTTTTTTAAGACTTTCACCTATTACTCAAAAAAATAATTCGTCTAGTGAGACGTTTCGTTTGAAGACTCTTCAACATAATGCCAGATTGGAGGCTCAGAATGTGAAGATAATTGAGAATCTACAAAGCTGTCAGCGTTTATTGAAGAATTTAATCACTTCTTTGGATAGTAAAAATAAAAATTCCAATTACGTACCAAGTGGAGTCTTGCAGATATGCATGGAGATGCGGGATATACAAAAAGAGGCAAGTGCACGTACAGAAGAACAAAGGGAGAAGGCTAAGGAACAGAGAGAGAAGAGGAATAACTTACTGGAAGAAATTGTAACGATTCTTAAGTCTAGAAAAGACACGTAATACAATCCATATCAGACAAGTGTTGGACTCATCCTCAATAGTTATAGAATAATAGAATTTATTTATTCTTTTAAATGCAAAGAGATAACTTTCTTGTTGTGTATTTTTATAATTTCATCACACGATTAATACACATTGCCTTCCTAGTAAAGTTTGTTCTGTGTACATTATAATAGATTTCATTATAATATAATAGAATTTTTAAGAACAATGATTATTGTATATTCAATGATATTGAGGTTATGTCATGGAGCTAGTGTGAATATTTTTATTATAGTCAAGCTACATACATTTTATATAAGGTGGCTTTTATTTTTTACATGAGTTTTAAATTCTGCCGTGACTATTGTGGCAAAATTTTAGAACACCACTGAAGAATCAAACATCACAGAGGACAGATTATTACTACGACGGCAGTCAAAGTGTTAACTTGTCTAGCGAGATGATTATAAAAAATAGATAAAAATAATTGTATACTTATTAATACAAAAAGTATCAAGTAAAATTTTCATCTGTAAATCTAAGTTACACATGAGGATCAAGATTTAGGGGCTCATTCTGTAACTTAACTGTACAAGCACGCGATCAGACTAGAGATTGATTTTCTTTCTTCTGATTAAATTCCAACGCAATCTGAATCTCTAGTCTTACCTTTTACAGTTAAGAATTATAGGCTCCTACAAAGTCTAAAAATTCTGCTCACTACAAATCAACCACTTTTTTTGTCTGTCACCACTAATTTAAGTTACTTTACTGTAAAGATAAAATTAGATTAAGATAATACGAGTTAGAATATATGAAATGTAATTATAGTTTTAAAATAAGGTTGCATTTGAGAAGATAAAAATTTTACTACACAAATCCAAGTTACCTCTTATGACTTTGTGTAAAAACATTAAAAAATATATTAATATTTCTTATATTGTTGAAGTATTCTACAATATATACCTTGAATTTTTTTTAACCTAATTATTCTATAATCTTACCTAATTATTCTATAATCTTATCTAATTATTTTATAATATAATATTTTATAATCAAAGCAAATATACTTACGAGGACAAAGATGCTAAGATTTGATACATAAATATTCCTATAATTCATCTTTATTCTTATTGATAAAAATTTACTCTTCTCTCTGGCGACTTGGTAATTTTAAAGCGTCTACCTATAATGACCTATATGACCCATGGAAATATCGTATCCAATAAGAGACTACGACTAACTGGAACATGGACTGGAGGGAGAGACGAAATCTGACGCAATTCTCGCGTCACTCACATGTCTACTGTGGTTGTACGCTAACATATTTCTCTATTTATTGACGTATTTATTAATTTATTTGACGACAATGATTGTTTCTACGAATGAGGGTAACCCAAACGCACTGAAACTAGTTATTGCAACTAAATTAGCGCAGGAAACCGTCTCCATTAGGATTCTGAAGCCTAGTAGTGAGTCCATTAACCTCTTCCTGTTTGCCTCCGTATCTTAGTTTATGTAAATTCTTAATGAAATATTCTTGAGATTATACATATACATGACCTTGTTTTGCGGAATATTATCATGTCTTAATAGTCAAACCATTTTTTGTCAATTTCCTAATTTATTGGAAGTGAACGAGTGTTCACATCTTCATCGATTTTCTATATTTCTTGATCTGATCAATTTGACTTCTATGAGGCAGTTAATGCATGTGATTATGACTTATATATTATATGTAGATGCTACTCTGGGCCGTTTGCCGACGCTGACTACATCCACAGGATTATCTCTGTTCAGTATCTCGTCAGCGTTGCGCTTCCTGTTATCTGTACCTAAAGAAGTAGAGGTTTTCAATGACAGATGGTTGGAATGGGAAATTTCTCAATTACAAGTATTATTTTCATTTAGCATTGAATCTATATATTAACTATTATAACTTTAGCTTTTGTTTCTAATGGTCTTTGTGTTTTTATTGTTACATCATTGAGAATGCTTATCCAGCAAGAGAATGACATAGTGTAACACAGTGAATCATTCCATCTTTATTTAACATTGACAAACAGGATGTAATAATTCATTGTGTATCATTTGTGCCTCTTGCTGGAAAGTATCCTGAATTGGACAGAAAGCTATTATTGATTTTAGGAATATATAAAACTGGTTACATTCAGCTAACAAAACAATTCAGTGAGTGATTTTTTTTACAATTCTAAAACCAAGAATCAATCATATTAAAGAATCAGCGTCATTCATTGAGCATTCACTGAGCTGCTTTGTTTGTTAAACAGTCAAAGATTCTTAATATTAAAGCTGTCATTTTTTGCAGCCAGCCATATTAAGTCACACGAGTGCTAAAACTTGTAAAACTCTACAAAAATCCTACTTATGGTCTTTACTAAAAGATCTCAATAATGAATTGAGAGACAAACAGTACTTAATTGAAGTAAATAATGAAATTTTATTACTCAAATATTTTATTATTCAAATGTTCATTGTTTATGCCACTTTTTTTTTTAGAAATGTAGTAACTTATCACCAGCAGATATTTCTATTTGGGTAAGTCTTTGGAGCACTATATTGATTACAGATATCGCAAATGATATTGCCAAGGACTTACCAAGTGTCAATAGCTGGTTAGCTAATATTCAAAAGCAGCCAATTATTCAACAATCAATTAAGGTAAAATGGCGTTATAATATCTAAATTATAATAAAAATTATAAGTTCATAAACATTGATTTGACATATGTAATTGATATATTCTGAATGCAGGAATCTATTGAAATGTTCAAATTAGAAAGAGGTTCAAAAGCTATTGCAAGTATTGAAGCTGCTTCTTGGTTCCCTATCAATACAGCCTCAAATCCTCAAGTTCATGAATCAGTACCTAGTGATGTAAGTATTTTAATTAATAAATAATAAGGCTCTGTAAGTATGAAACAATATATACAAAAGGGCAAAGAGCCAGTAATGTAGTAACAAACTTTAATTAAATTAAAATTAAATCATAAATTACAATCATAAGCGACAAAACAAACGTTTCGACTTCGCTCGAGTCATTTTCAATGTTGCGGTAATATTAAAATATCGCTATAAAAATATTTATGGTATTACATTCTTCATATCATATAGTGCCTTGTGAATCAGTTATATCAGAATTCAAAGTAGTCAGAAAAATATTCTAGAAACGTGACCGTGAACAAAACATAAATACTTGAACTACATGCGAATTAATAATATATATATAATATAATCATATACCTTATCAATATCGGTGAAAGTGTTGAGAGTCCATTAATAAAAAAAGAGAAA